TTGATTGTTTATCAGGGGTTGGGTACTTAAGGGAGATGATTACAATAAAAAAACTAATCGATTACCTTTTTCGTGGCTTTATTTCTGATAAATACTAGGACCGATTGTCTTCTTTTTATTTTAATCTGCCATGTGGTAGATTTGAGGTTATGTTACAAAATGAAGTTAAATGTCACAAATATTTTACAAATTATTATTTTAAAAGCTAAATAATCTTAATATGGAATATTAAAACGAGGTAATTCTAGATTATTAGTACCGTTATATGTTATATTATTAGCTTCAATAATTTTAGATGGACCTTAAATATGCATACTTTCGCCGAACAAAATGTGATTCGTAATGAAATATTTTTCAAAAAAAAAGTATTCCACGCTTAATGCTGGAAATAATCGGATAAGTTCAATGTCTTGTTAAGATATGGTAAGTTTTTACTATGAACTAATTATCTTGATAAAAATTTACAACTAAATCTATATGTACAAATTCGAGTAGCCTAATATTTCTCAAAATATATATCACTCGGTTTCAGGTTTAAATGTCCAAAAACACATTTCGGAATCCCGATTAATAAAGCATAGAATGGTAACCTTGTATAGCAGGTTAGAGGATGAGACTAGGTATACCTCCGGTATGAGACCAGTCGATGATTCTCCGTGGCTAGTGTCTGGCTCTGGGTCGATCACAAGGGGATAGACTAGGGACGTAGGAGACCAGTCAATGATTGCCGATGGGTGATCTGGATGAAGATGTCTGCGATGGTGACGTTTACAGAGGAATATAACATCGGAAGTTATGTACAATTTGTAGAAATAAGAGGAAACATAAAATATAGAAAAAGAATTAGAAGAAAAAAGGCCTGAAAGAGAGAGAAACGTAAGTATCTTTATATATTAATAATATTAAGTTTTTATTTAAAGTACCTTTGATGGGGTGTGGCCTCTAAGAGTAATAAATTTGCTCAGGGTCTCCTGATCAAAAGTTTTTGGTAGTTTTTCACTTCGCGAAACTAAATCCAACCCTTGGTTGATGAATTTCTATTTAACAGAACAATTCGCAATCTCTTGAATCGAAGAACTTTTGGAAAAATCCACAAAAATGTTGACACTTGTTCTTGACGAAAGCTCTCACAAGAAGAACAAAATGGCATATTCCCTTTTGATAAGATCTTCCAAATTATTAAATAGTTTGTTAGTTTATAAGTTCTAATACTTGAAAAGAGATTAACTTATGCCTAATCTAGTTGGTAGACAAAGTCAAAACATTTTAATTAAAAGTCTAGTTCTATTACATTTCTTAGAACTGATAGATGAATGAATGATTACTTAATTCATACTACTAATCATTCATTCTAATTGTCATTCATTAAAATCGGCTTCTGTGACTTATGACATGTAGATATTATGAAAATGTAAACAAAACTAATTCAGAAAGAGTAAAACCAAATTTGGTAGATTTTCACACTTTTATTTTAAAAATAAAAATTTTTAAAAAAACACTAACATGACATATGTTTCGAAGTACAACTTCTTTTTCAAATGTGACTATTTACAATTCGGTATCCAATATATATATACGAAATAATTTAACAAAACAAAGTACTTAAGAAAACATCAATAACATTACAAAATAAACTAACTATTTAAAGTAAATAAGGGTACTTAGGTAATTATAATATCCATCAAATAACAATAAGATAGGCCATTACCGGGATTATCTCACAGAAAACTGGGAAAGAGATTTAATAAGGGTGAATTATTAATATCTAATTGATCATTTAGTAAATTATCTGAATTTTTAAATCTATTTATTTCAAGTGTTTCTAAATGGTTTAATTTAATGCTCTTATTTTCTACATGTAAAATTTCAAAGTTGTCTGTAAAAGAATGATTTTCAGCTAAAATATGCTTTGAGTAAGTAGAATTATTTTTGTTTTTTGTATAGCTATTATAATGTTCGGAATAGCGTTTTTTGAAAGTACGGCCTGTTTGACCAATATACAATTTTGGACAACTACCACAATTTAATTTATATACCCCCGATTTATTATTAGGATTAATTTTACCCTTATTGTTTTTAATATACTTCCCAAGCATATTATTGGTTTTAAAACTACATTAATATTTTGGTTTTTTAAATATGATGATACCTTTTCACTAGGAGCTCCTATATATGTAAGACTCTTATATCTGCAATTTGGATCTTTAATTATGGGATAAACTTGTTGAATAGCCTGTTGAATAAGTACTTTGTTTTGTTAAATTATTTCGTATATATATTGGATACCGAATTGTAAATAGTCACATTTGAAAAAGAAGTTGTACTTCGAAACATATGTCATGTTAGTGTTTTTTTAAAAATTTTTATTTTTAAAATAAAAGTGTGAAAATCTACCAAATTTGGTTTTACTCTTTCAAAATTAAATGGATTTTCATCAAGTAAAGGCCGAAACAATAAATAATTTAAAACTAATTCAATAATTTGGTTACCTTTCGAAATGATTTTAAGTTGTTTTAAAATGTAATAAATGGTAAAAATTGTTTATTATTAAAATACTTATGTCCTCTTTCCTTCTAGATGAATTCTACATGGATTCCCAATTTGAAATAGTAAGGAAATTTTAATGGAAGTAAACAAATGATAAAATATAAAATAATTCACTAAATTTATTGTAAGTAGCATTTATTTTAGGTTTTAGAAATGCAGTTTATGTTAAATGAGTCCTAAATATATCCCATTTATCCTAAAAATCCTATAATTTCTTTTATCCTGTAACACTATGGCCATGGTCCCAATACTTTCCTTTGTGATGCTGTTTGGCGATACACTTAACTTCACAAGTAACATCATGTCCAGAATGTAATTTTACCTATGAGAAAAACAATATTTATAGCTAAAAAATAAAAATAATAAAGAAAGTTTTGTTTTCCAATAATAATGTACTCTTGTGTGAAATTGTTATGATGTACCCTTTTCGAGAAAAATACATTTTTATGCATTCTTACATTTCTCCAATATCGAATCTCGAATTTTTGAATAGGATGATTTCTCTCATATAAAATCATCTCTAGAATCCGACATTCTCATTTGACGGCCGAATTTCATCAAAGAACTGTTGAAAGTTTATTGGCGTAGACACGAGATTTCAGAACATCCTTCAGAAAGAAGTGACTTGCTGTTTTATTGCAAGTTCTTGATGGCCAATTTTGCTTTTACGAGTAGTATTGTATTGCTCTTCAGTGTAACGTACCATAGCTAATAATTGCAATACAGGGTAACCCAGAACTACAAAGAGCTCTATCTCCCTTATGAGGCATTTTCGGAATAAAGTAATTAAAATCAAATCGACATAAAATCAAGATAGTTCTCAAATGTTTTTAAAATAAAACTGCTGGTTATGTTGTACACATTAAACCTAAAAAGAGGAATGAGACAAATATTATATCAATTGTGTAACATTTTTGCTTTTATTTTATTTTTAAAAAATTATTTTTGTATTAAAAATTTTACACACTTTTTTAACCGTTTCTTTCTTATAACTTTCTTTTCAGAAAAACTCATAGTGGCAAAATTCAGATCATTTTAAGCACTCTCAGAAACATTTTTGCAGGGTCTGTAATTTTAACTTGCAATAATCAGCATAAGTCCTATTATTTTGTAAATTAAACTAATTAAAAAAACAAATTAAAGAAAACAAATAGTTTACGTTATATAAATGCATATCACCTGACCAACATCAGCTAAAAAAGTATTAAAATTCATTAATAAATAAATAAATAATCATTCCAAAAACTAAAATTAAATTAATAATAATATTCTAGCTATTTTCATCACAATAAAACTGTTTTATTTATGCCTATATTCATAATGCTAATTTTCTAACCAAATATTAATTTCATATAACATCAAATTGAGGTAGGTAAACATTACGCTTAACTGCTTAATTATTTATAATTATTATTATTTAAATTGTACACATAGTTTTATAATTTCGTTATCTATCGAATTGTATGCCTACTACGATGCTCGCCAATAACAAAATATTTCTACTAATTAATTTATTTTGTTATTTGCACATTATCCCCAACGTTTTTAAATATTTTATTTTTATTTTTTAATATTGGAAACGTTATCACTGACAGGAATATACTCATCTATACAGATGGTTACTCAGGGTTAGTACTAGAATGTCAAGAAGCTTTGGCCGAAGTATCCATCAACAATATGGTCAACTGAAGATTGATCTAAGATCACGCCACATCAAAAGATAACTATCTTGCTGATTTACTAACTAAAAATGCAGCCAACCAAATACTTTTAGACCTAATTCCCTTGTGAAATTCAAGGAAAGATGGGATAAAATAAGAAGCTGCAGACTTATCAGGGAGCTCATAAGTTATTCGTACAATACTACAGCAAAAAAATACTTGGTATGACTAGACATAATCTACTCCTGACTCTTCATTGCTAAGTACGAAAGCATCTCCATATCATGGGGTTGTCAAAAGCCGCACTCTGCAGAGTGGATGCAAACAAGAAGATGAGACCATCGACTACATCCTCTACGATTGCCCGACGCTCTCATTTATTAGAAGGTTTGTATTCGGCGAGAATCGGCTAACACCGGCCGATATAAGAGAAGCACCTTTTGGCAACGTTGTCTACTACATTAAATCTGTAGGCAAGGTTACAAGCTAGGTGGTGCCTATCTACACAGGAGGATGCACAATGGACCTAGAAGGCCTAAGTGCCGTGGCCTCAGCCACCCTTCATACTTCACAGATATAGAATGCTGGAAGCAGATTATTAATGTTTCCTCAAATATAAATATTATTGATATAAAATATTTGGAATTATTTTATACTCGTTGTTTATATTATGTATTTTCCCATCAACTGTGTATTACTCTTTTTAGAATACTCATTTAATCGTATTTGATAAATAAATTAAATAATTGTTTTTGCATTAACTAATTTATTTAATAATTTTATATAAAAGTGTAATTAAATATTTGTGACATTTATTATCTACAGTTGCATTTTCCCTGATCATCACACCAGCCTCCCGATTTTCCTGCGACTTTGCAACGAACAGCACAAGCGGAATGGTTAAATTTAAAACCTATAACTTCAAATGACAGAATATCGCAGGTTGCTCGTTTTACTCGAAGAGATGTACCTGAAAATTTATTACAATATTATTTAGATTATAAGATTTTTTATTCTTTTTTTTTATTTTTATAGCTGACCAAAATGTTTCTGTTATTAATTTGTCTCATCTCATTTCAAAATTAAAAATTTTAAACAGACGAAACTAATATATTATTTTTGTTGTCAGTTTATATTTATAGTGTTATAAAATGTATAAATATTAGAGTTTGTAGATATAAGGTAATCCTAATCAAGAATTGTCTTCATCTCTTAAAAGTGGCTTCTCGCCATATCCCGCAACCGATTATCTGTCAATTACGACATTTTTTACAAAAACGTAGGAAACAATAACTAAGAGTATTTTTCACTTTGTTACATCTCATTACGTAGTACGATATATTTACAATATACAGATTTGAACTAATTTTTTTCTTTGGTACAGGTGTTACGTGAAATTAATTTAAAATAAATTTCAAATTTATTTTTGACAACAACTTCTCCATTACCCCTCGTAATAACAAAAATTAAACAAAGACGGCTCGCTCTGGATTGCAAAGTACGATTTGCGCGTTTGTGCAGCGTTTTTTCTACGTTCCCACTAAGGAAGTATAAAACGAGCTAGCGTTGCTTTAGCAGGTCCATTTTCGTTTATTGAGTTCAAAATTTAACGTAATAGTGTTGTGTCCAAAAATCTTGTAGTTTGTAGTTATTATGAGTAGATTTAGATAATTATCGTGTGTTTTTTTTCGTATATGCTACCGTTGGGGTAATTGTCAGGTAATGTTTTTTTTTCAACTTATATTTTAACGCTTTGCTGGATTTTTTTAGTCGGAAAGCCGAAAGGTCGGCCATTTTCTTTTTTTATTACCACCATGCCGACGAATGCCAGTTAATATTATTGTTTTGTTTTATATAGAATATAGCTACCCTATCTAATAATATTGTTAAGCTTTCTTTGATATACAGTATGTCACCCTAGGTTGAAATCATATGGAAAACTTTTTATTATTAATTTTAGGAAAAAAAGTTATTCTTCATAAAAAGTTCTGTATTATTTAAAACCTAGAATACAGTCATCAAATATCAAATTTTGTCAGTGATATACGAGGTTTATCAAAAAAATATGAGTTTTACTCAAGTATCCTTATTCTTTATTATACGACTGATAAAATTTGATATTTGATGGTTTCAATTTAGTTTTTAGACCATGCTCGACTTTTACATTCAGCGATTTTTTTTTATTCATTTTGGTTAAATTGTATATATTAACTAAATATTATTAATACTCCATCTATAAAGTAATAAACAATAATTATTTTGGTTTATCCAAAAGTTTTTAAGCTTTCAAACAAGATAATTAATTAGTCTGACAAATGAATTGTCAACCAAAGTCCATGACTATATCAACTAAAGAGGTTAGCCAAATTCATTCAATTTCTACCGAGTCCGCCGCGGCGTGACGTCAACCCAGCCGTCACATCTTATTTTTAAATTACGTTTTATTTTGTTTATTTTTAAACTAAAAGATATTTCAGAATATTCAAAATAAAATTTTACCAGAGCAAAAATTTAACTCATCTGAAAATTATAGAAGTAAATAAATATGTAAATAGAAGTTAATAAATTTAAATACTGGGGCTTTCTCTAACCATCTTTTTAATGAACTCATATTTAAGAAATTTGATATGATAAAGTCAAAATTTATATACAGAGTGAACAAAAAGTAACCTTATTATTATTATATACATTCCTGATAAATTTACAAAAAAAGTTTTGATGAAAGTTTTATAAAAAAAATACACCTTCGTGCTTAATAAGAAATATACTGGGTTGACCAGCATTCATAAATTATAAAAAAATATATTTTTTAAATAGTTTTTCTTACTAAATTAAATTTAAAATAAAACCGTTAAAATTACATTGTGCTAACTTTATTAGCCATTAGCCATCCATTCGTCATTTTTGAGTAATGTAAGCACGTTCGTCCTACCACGTCTCAACCACCTCAGAAGCTAGCACGCTTGGCCGATGTTTTGAAATTAGTTCGCACCCTTTTTACACTTACACCATAATATGCTCCTTTCAATGGCCTTACCCCTAGAGGCAGAAGCGAGTGCGCTCTTTTTACACTTACACCATATGAGCCACCTGTACGCGTCCTACCAACAGGCTTACCACTAGATGAAAAAGCGAGCCCTTTTCACTTCTTTATCATAATAATCAGCTACGCTTGTTCCAACAGCGGCCTTACCACTGGAGAAAGGAAGAACGCGCCCGGATGACGTTCCGAAATTCGTTGGCCGGACGCGCCCTTTGTTCACCTACACTATAAGAGTCAGCTACGCTTGTCCCAAGAACAACGTCACTACTAGAGGAAGGAGCGATAGAAGCGAACGCGCCCTTACTTTACACCCACACCATAAGAGTCGGCTACTCTCGTCCCAACTACGGCCTAACTACTAGAGGAAGGATCGAGCGAAGCGAGCGCACCCTTTTCACACCTACACCATAAGAGTCAGCTACGCTCGTCCCAACAACGACCTTATTATTAGAGGAAGGAGCGAGCGCGCCCTTTTTACACCTACGCCATTAGAGTCAATTACACTTATCCCAACAACGGCCTTACTACTAGAGAAACGTTGGCCGGGCCCATTTTACACCTACACCATAAGAACTACGCTCGTCTGACCAACGGTATTTTCACACCTCATTGACTTCACCCGCTGTATTCTGTAGTGGTTAGGACGTAGGTGGGACGAGCGTAGCGTGCTCTTATTGAATTTGAAGAGGGTATGGTGGAAATAACAGGTGAACAAAGCCTTGACCGAGCAGTAGACCAAGTAAGTAAGGCTATTATAACCGCTTACAAGGAAAACTGTCCGGAGAAAACAAGGCAGCAAAGAACAAAAACAGTCTGGTGGAATAAACACTTGGAACGCCTTAAAGGCGAAGTGCGAAGGCTATTTAATAAAGCCAAGTCAACCGAAGACTGGGTCCTATACAAGGCTAAACTCACGCAGTACAACAAGGAGATAAGAAAGGCTAAAAGGCAATCGTGGAGGAAGTTCTGTGAGGAGTTATCTAAAACACCCACATGTTCTAGAATCCACAAAGTCTTAGCTAAAGAGGGTGCTGCAAACCAAGTAGGATTTCTCAGGAAAGATGACGAAACCTATACGAAAACCTTCGAGGAAACGTTAACAATGCTCACAGAAGTACACTTTCCGGCCGCAGAAATTTTGCTAGACCCGATAGTAGCATACAGCCCTCAAAGAAGGTCTCGTAGGCCACCTCCTTTGGAAAGGAGGCTAGCTACATAAATATCGAGGCCGAACAAAATTAGATGGGCTACAAACAAATTTTAATCATACAAATCCCCAGGAGTAGATGGATTATATCCCATTCTACTACAAAAGGGACAGGAAATTCTAATTCCACATTTGTGTCGCATATTTAAAGCATATATAGCCTGGCGACACATACCAAAGGCATGGAAAAAGGTGAAAGTCATATACCTCCCTAAAGTAGGAAGGTTTAATGACATGACGCCAAAGTCGTACCGCCCAATCAGTCTATCGTCATTCATGCTGAAAACGCTAGATAGACTAATAGATAGATATATACGAGACGAAATACTGAGAGAAAATCCTCTCAGTGACCGTCAATATGCATATCAGCCAGGAAAGTCAACCGATTTGGCCCTGAATGATCTTAACAGGCTATTGTCAAAATCCCTGGAGGATAAAGAAATGGCAGTAGCAACTTTCGTAAATATTGAGGGAGCTTTTAGTAATGCTCAAACAAGATCTATAATTAACGCATTAGCAATAAAAGGGGTACCAGTAGTCCTATGTCAGTGGATAAAAGATAGAAGAAAGGGTAATAACATCATCTCACCCCTTCTCTGGTCAGTCCTAGTGGATGAACTTATAAAAAGGCTAATATCTGCAGATTTTTACTGCCTAGGGTATGCCGATGACCTGGCAATCGTTGTAAGAGGCAAGTTCGCAGGTACAATATCGGAGCGCACACAAACCGCTCTAAACATTGTCGACGAATGGTGCAGAGAGGAGGAACTAACAGTAAACCCTCACAAAACCACAATAGTCAACTTTACAAAACGAAAAGTACCAACAGGACTAAAGTCACCAGTACTGAAAGGAGTGAAGATTCCATTCGCTCAAAAGGCCAAATACTTGGGAGTCATCTTTGACTACAGGTTAACATGGAATCAACACTTGCAAAAAGTCACCCAAAAGAGCACAACGTCCTTTAACTTATGTCGAAGGTTGTGTGGAAAAAATTGGGGATTACAACCAAAATGTCCCTGTGGTTATATACCAGAGTCATAAGGCCGATGATAACCTACGGGTCGGTGGTATGGTGGCCAAAGACTCGGCAAGCTGGAGCCATTCGACAGCTCAATGGTATTCAAAGGCAAGCATGCCTGAGTACCACGGGAGCTATGAGAACGACTCGAACAGCAGCTATAGAAGTCATGCTAAACCTAACCCATCGCCCATAAGCAGTTTGCATGGACGCGACTACAGCGAGCTATATAAAGAGTTGGAGAACGACCAAATAATGGGAATGCCTTCAGACGAAATGCTTCCAAAGTATAGCTTTCAAAAGCAATACAAAGTAAGTATACCAGACAGGAAAGCGTGGACGGAAGGACCTCCTATTCATGCAGATCTCACCTGGTATACAGACGGCTTTAAAACCCATGAAAGTTCAGGAGTAGGTATATATAGTACCAAGCCAAAGACAGGAATCTCACTGAGCTTAGGTAAACATGCGACAGTATTCCAGGCAGAAAAAGCAGCAATACATCATTGCGCAAAAGAAGTATTAAGACAGAAGGTAAATGGAAAAAGCATTGTCATATACTCAGACAGTCAAGCGACGTTAAAAGCACTCAGTTCCATGCAGGTACACTCAAAGCTTGCGTGGGACTGTTTGGAAGCCCTAACAGAGCTGGGTAGTCAAAACAGACTAACCTTAGCCTGGGTACCAGGCCACAGGGGACACAAAGGCAATAAAGAGGCTGATTTACTAGCCCGAGAAGGAGCTTCAAATGTTCTTATTGGCCCAGAACCCTTCTGTAGTGTTACAAAAACAACTATCAGAACATGCACAAAGCAGTGGATGTTTAAAAAATCTCAGGAGTGGTGGGAAAACTCACCAGGACAGAGACAGGCCAAAAAGTTCTTAAAAGGACCATCGTCTAAACTCATGAGCATCTACTAAGCCTTAATAGGAAAAATACTAGAATACTAGTAGGTCTATTAACAGGGCATTGTAGGCTTAACAAACATATGTTCAATATCGGTCTGATAGAAGAGGCCTTGTGCCGATTCTGTCAAGAAGAAGAGGAAACGGCAGAACACGTATTGTGCTACTGCAAAGGTCTAGTAAGACTGAGATTCCTTACAGTTGGAGAAGAAAAACCAAGGGCAACTAGCTATACCGAAGAACTACTTCTCAGTCTATGGAGTCTACTAGACAAGGTACTCTAAACAATGATTAAAGGATATCCACAATAGATCTAAAAAGGTCGAGGTGGGGGAGGTCACATGGCCCATAGTTCTAATTAAATCTAATCTAATTTATTGAATTCGAAGACATCGGCCATAACTTTTTTACTTTTTGAACTAGATTTACAAAAAAACGTTTTGGACAAAATTTTTATTAAATAAATCAAGTTATATCGGTATAAGTCAGTTAGAAATATACTAGGCGCACTATTACTCCAAAATAACGCAATTATATTTTTT